GCTCCCGCGTGCTGCGTTCCCCGGGCTCTGCAAGGAGAAGGGCCCCTCAGGCGACAGCGGGGCCTGGCTCCTCCAGGCCAGGGCAGCTGCATTAGCCACCAGCTGACGGGAGCCCCCTCAGCTCGTCAGTGCCTCGGGGCAGCACGGGCTGGGCTGCGGCAGGGCTCCTGGCAGGTCCTGCTTGGAGCCCCCCAGGGGTTGGCTTGGTGCTCGTCTCCCATCTCCGCGTGGGGGGTGTCCCAGGCCTGGGGAGCCTTGAGGTGCCGCGTGCTCTGGGGGCCACCGAGCGGAGACGGTGCCTGGCTCTGCGGAGCCCCTGCCGACTCCCATCCCCGTGGAAAGGCAGCGGCCCCTGGGGCCCTGGCAGGAGGCTTGTCACCCCCGGGTGTGTCTGTTTCAGGTGCGGGACATGTTTGCCTTGGCCCGCAAACACGCCCCCTGCATCCTGTTCATCGACGAGATCGACGCCATCGGCCGGAAGCGGGGCCGGGGGAACTTCGGGGGGCAGAGCGAGCAGGAGAACACCCTCAACCAGCTGCTGGTGGAGATGGACGGTGAGCGAGCAGCCGGCAGCGGGGGCCTGGCCTCCTGCGCTGCGTCCGCTCCTTGGCAATTCTCGGCGATGCCCCGCCCGGGGGCCACGTGCTCCCAGCCACGCCGGGGGAGGGGCAGTGGGACCTGGCTCAGGGCCCAGCCGGGCCTTGCGCTCAAAGCTCGTGAAAGCCGAAGGTCTGCCTTGAGCAGTGGAGTCTGGGTGGCCCCTGGGCCCGCGGTGATGCAGCTGAGCCCCTCAGCTCCTGCTGGGGAGTCCAGGCCCCAGTGTCCCATGGGTTTTGTCTGGCTCCCTCCCCCCCTTGTTATCCTCGGCCGGTCGCTCGGTGACCTCTTCCCCCTCTGCTTAGGGTTCAACTCCAGCACCAACGTGGTGGTGCTCGCAGGAACCAATCGCCCGGACATCCTGGACCCCGCGCTCACGAGACCGGGGCGCTTTGACCGCCAGATTTACCTCGGTAATGCTCGCCGCGCCCACTGCGCCCTCTGCCGGCTCCCCATGAGAGCTGCACGCGCGGAGGCCCGTGGGGGTTAGTGTGAAACGTGCAGAGCTGGCAGATGTTTTGCTGCAGGAGCTGGGAAAAGCTGCAGCCACTGCCGTTGTGCTGGGGCTGGAGAGGTCCAGTGCCGAAGGTGGGTTATTGGCAGCGCTGGTGCCAGCCTGGCCCGGGCACTGGCAGACGTATGGGAGGGGGCGCTAGCTGTCCTTTGCCGCCCGGCAGCCCGGCTGGTCTCACTGGGGCGCGGCCGGGCTTGGGGGCGTTCTGTGCAGCGCTCCCCCAGGTAACACTGGCCGGGTGGGGTCGCTGTGGGACTTACCCAGCTGCTGCGATCCATGTCCAGGGGGCTCTGCAGTGACCTCTGCGTGGTGTGCGGCACCTGGCCGGGAGGCGGCCCAACTGCAGGCCCCTTGGCCAGTGCAGGGGAGCGGGGAGGCTTCCGGCAGCTCCTCTGGAAACCAAGAGGGTTGTGTCCGCTCTCGGCAGTAACCAGAGGAAGCCCAGGCGGCGAGGAGCCGCCGTCCCGGCAGGTAGCCCTGCACGACTCAGTTCTGAACCACTTCTCTGGCTCCGCTCCCACCCAGGCCCGCCCGATATCAAAGGCAGAGCCTCCATCTTTAAGGTCCATCTCCGGCCCCTGAAGCTGCAGGAAAGCATCAGCAGAGACGCCCTGGCCAGGAAACTGGCTGCACGGACCCCAGGATTCACAGGTGGGTTGCCAGGAAGACCAAGGGGGAGGAGGCGGGAAACGTGCAGAGCTGGCAGATGTTTTGCTGCAGCAGCTGGGAAAAGCTGCAGCCACTGCCTTTGTGCTGGGGCTGGAGAGGTCCAGTGCCGAAGGTGGGCTATTGGCAGGGCTCGGGGCAGCCCGCGCCCCGCG